GGGGGGGGCGGAGGAGAGGGGGTGTGGGGGGGGGTGGGCTGAGACTGAGCGGATAAATACAGAGGAATTTCAGGAATGAGGACATTGAGGACCGGGACAGACTTGACTGTTACTGCTGCTGCTGTAAAGTTAAGGCAACAAAAGCAGCTAAAAGTCCAAATAAACACACCTTCAATAAAAGAACTTGGAGAAACAAAGTGTCCAGAAGACATCAATTATTGTCAATTATGTCATGTTTTCAACTTTTGTTTTCAATAAAATCATCCAACAGCACTTTAACTATATATACATACATTTATGTATATACACATGTATATATATATATACATACATATATACATACACATATACATATATGCATATATATATATATATATATATATATTTTTTTTTTTTTTCTTATAGTTACTTATTTACATAGAAAAACAAGCTCAAGGATTCCAGGTCCTACCTCCAGGACTTGCACGTAGCTGGAGGGGAACCAGCCTCTGGTTCCGTCCTCAGTCTCTCCCTCCCACCATCCTCCAGGCAGCGCCTGTAGAACCCGGATCAGGTCCCCGGCCTGGAAACTCAGACCCTGCTCATGCTGTTCTGAACTGAAGGAGTACAAAGTTTTACACAGGGATCCAGACATGACCAGCAGGAGTCCAGCAGGAGTCCAGCAGGAGTCCAGCAAAAGACCGGAGAATCTAGGAGAAGTCTGGGGGTGTCCAAGACCAGACAAAAGGAGTGTGGAGGAGTCAAGAAGAAATCCAGGAGGAGTGTGGAGGAGCAGAGAGAAAAACACAGGAGAGTCAGCTGAGCAGACCACAAGAGTTAAACACCAAATCCAAGTCCAAGTCCAAGTCCAGGTCCAGGTCTAGTTCCAGGTCCAGGAGGAATAAGTTTGTGGAGCAGATTCTTCCGTTCCTCCCTCAGTGAGGAGCGCGAACTTGAGCGTTCCACAGCTTATGTTGTTACTACTGATCCACGTTCTTCTGCTGCTGATGACAAACCGCTGCTGTCAATACATATACAATCTCCCCGGAAACGAGTGGAAGCACCTCCAAAATAAGAGCAACCTTCAAACAGTGCGGTGATTATTACCAGATAAACATCCGGTAACACATCACTGTTTTGACTCTGTTGCTCGAAACGCTAGAGCCATGCTATGGCCGGGAATCGAACCGTCAATCATTTGATTGCAAGCCCGATCGCGGCCCCTGAAATAAAGACGGTTTGCGATGATTAATCGTTTAGAATTAGGCATTTTGACAGCTACTGTTTTTCGGACACTTCAGTCCTGCAGTCCATCACAGACATCATCATCAACGACAGGGCACCAGTCATAGATACAACAACAACAACAACAACAACAACGTTGTATTGGTTTAGTTGGAGTGACAGTGTTTTCATGGTGAAGACTTCAGTCACTTCTTCACTGTGTCGGCGACAGAAGTTTGTTTCTTCAGTCAACACTGACTCAGACGTGGACAGGAAGTTGAACCTGAAGATTTCCACTCTGTTACTTCCCTTTTTACGCTGTTGCTCAGCATCATTGCCATGGCAGTTCTTTGTTTAGCTCCGTTGCCATGGTGACGCATCGGCAACACTGCCTCTAACCAGAGCTTCCACAGCGATGGTGTAAAGAATAAAAAAAACTTTCATCTGAAACGGAAGCAAAAGAAACACAGGGAGTTGGACGGTTAGCGAAACAAATATTAGCAACCGTTAGCCCAACCACAAACCACAAAACTCTCAAAAGCAGGATAAAAACAAATTATATTATAGCAAAAGGAACCAACTAAAACGATTATGATCGTGGAGAAAAGAAACGAATTACGATATTTACCGACTTCACAACAATCGTAGGTGAATTAACTGTTTTATTTTATGAATTATTTACAAACAATTATTATTGTACCAAAATATAGTTTAAAATTATATTTTTCTTCACCTTGTCATCTGTCGCCCTCTAGCGACGGATGTTGCACATGCTATTCAAAAGAAAAGTCGTTTATTCAGTTTCCCCCTTTTTACTAAGCTAGATGGACAAACAGGATAACTGACGTGTATGTGCACGTGACATTTACTATTTCATTATTACGAACTAGTATGGCCGAGCTGTCACGCCACCTGGCGGTCTTAAATTTTAACTTGTTCAGGTTTTACTTCTTTATTAATGGTATTTCCTACAGTTACAGCTGCTGTTCTTCTACTGCTCATCAACCACCTCCCCTGTAAAGAACTTGTGGAGAACTCCTGATCCAGATAGTGAAACAGTTCCTGTGAACTGTTAAATGAATCAGTCCTGTTCTTCTACGTCAGTTCTAGTGGCATCGGTACCCACAGATGGAGATACAACATGTAATGATCTCTAATTCATCTAAGAAATGAGACCAAGGACAGGTTGAAACCATTTTGTGACCTGCTCTGCCTCCTACTGGCAGCTAATTGTCAAAATGACATTTTGTAAATGTTGCAACACCCAGGATTCAAATTCGTTCGGAATGACTTTGAACCCTTTGTTCAAAGGAGGCCTTTCATTTATTCAAGTCAGGAGTCTAACCCCTGACATCTGACACAGAAGGAACAGAGAGAAGAAAAATGTCCGACGCCGGGTCTGAAGATGTAGATGCCAAAAAGAACAAACTCGGGGTGAGAAGAACTTGTTCTCTCTTTTCAGTTTGTCACTGAAGTAGAGTTTCAACAAAAAACACCTCACTGTGTGTGTGTGTGTGTGTGTGTGTGTCAGGAGTATGTAGGAGACAGGAACGAAGCAGGAGAGAGACATGGACACGGCAGAGCTGTTCTTCCTAATGGAGACGTCTATGAGGGAGAGTATGAGAACGGGAAGAGGAACGGACAGGTACAGAACATGGTCCTGGTCTTGGTCCAGTACAATTCTCCCACTTTCTGCTTTAGTTCAGCAATAATCAAAGTCAAATCACTAAATATAGGACCACAGGCCAAGACCCATTGAAGATTAGTCCACGTTTTGGCATAAATAGTGAAATATCCAGAACGTGACTAAAGGTTAGCCGTGGCTCACAGAACTGCACATCACTGGCTAACACTGACACTGTAGTACCTTCACGAATTACCAGCACCAATAGCAGTCCTTAGTTAATTGGTCCTGCACCATCTGTCCACCAGGGGACGTATCGCTTCAAGAACGGGGCCAGATATGTGGGAACCTACTTCCAGAACATGAAACATGGACAGGGAATCTTCTACTACCCAGATGGGTCCAAATATGAAGGTGGGTTTGGTCACTTCAGAGAATCTCAAGTTTCACTGTGAAATCTGGACTCAGCCAGTCTGGTCCGGTTCTGGTTCTGGTCTTTGTCTCAGGAGCCTGGGTTAAAGACGTGAGACGAGGACGTGGGGTCTACATTTACCCCAACGGAGACACCTACGATGGAGAATGGCTCCAACATCTGAGGTTTGTCTCACTGATTTCCCCCGTCTGACACAATCAGTACCTGAGGAACCATGTGGTACCGTTTCTAGACCACCAGAATGTAGGACTCTGGTCCAAACGTTCCTCCATGTCTCAGTCTGAATCCACTGACCCCTAACCCCAGCAGGTCTACGTGGTTTCTCTAACACAGACACGGTCAGGGAACGTACAACTTCAAAGAAACTGGCTCCAAGTACCAGGGGTCCTGGGTCAACGGGAACATGGAGTCTGCTGGAGAGTACATCCACTGTAACCACAGATATGAAGGGACCTTCGCCAACAACAAGGTCAGTCCTGGGTTCAGAGAACTCTGTGTCTATGAAAGTGGAGCAGGGACACGTAAGAGGTCCACATCTGGAACCAAGAATATGGGCCATATCATCACCAAACCTAGAGAAAGGTCCAATCTTCTTAAAGACTAGGTTGGAGCCCACACGGGCTGGTCTGTTACAGGACCAGAACAACTGAAGGGACTGATGTGGTTCCATAGTGTAGTGGTTAGCACGCTTGCTTTTCAGCAGAGAGTCCTTGGTTCGATTCCCAGAGGAACCACATACTTGGCGCCTCCAAGGGGCAGCCTGAGGCAGCACATCTGCTGTTAACACAAAAAAATAATAATGTGGGATGAATAAAGTTCATACCAGCACCCAGCCTTCATTTGGTCTCCACATGCTCATTTCTATGTGGTGCTTCTTGTGGCCCATTTGGGTCAGATCTTTGTTCAGCATCTGTTAACCGGGCCTCTGGTCTACATGTTCCTCTTTTCATGTCCCAGCCGAGCGGTTCGGGGAAGTACGTGTTTCCTGACATCAAGTGTGAGCAGCATGGTGACTACCATGTGGAAGACCAGGTGAATGAAAACCAACCCACGTCCTGGTCTCTGTGGTCCACTCACTGTACCATCGACCAACATTTTTAAAGGCAGTTTTCTTCTTCTCAGGATGAGACCCAGGTTCTTAGATGGGTTCCCAGGAAGATCACAGAACTAACACCGCCCGCCATAAAGACTGCAGGTGAGCCAAGGAGACACACCAGAAAGTACCAGGAACTTTCCCTGTCCTGTCATTCCAAGTCCAAGTTGGACAAATCATTTCCACCAAATGTGTCTCAAACATATGAACCCACACTGAGTTACTGGTAATGTTTGAGGTATTTTCATAGTGATGGTACTCTTACATAGTGCTTGTTGCTGGTCCATGGTTATTTCATTCTGCAGAACCAGAACCACAGGAAGGAGAGGAGACGGAGGAGTCGGGTTCAGAGGAGGGCCAGGAGGGCCAGGAGGGCCAGGAGGAACCAGTTGACCTTTAGGAGAAGCAGCTCCTGGAATATTATTGAAATGCCTGGAAACTGACCGTGAAATGTTGAGTTGAAGGAAACATAAACAGAGCAATAATAAATATAAAAATATATGCAATACATCAAACACTGGTGCGTGGTCCATGGTCTGTACGTAAACAAAAACTCAAATTGTTGTGAATACCTGAAATAGCCGACAAACCACAGGTGGGCGGGGCCTCAGTGGCCTGAACCAATAACAAGGCCGCTGCTGGACACCATGTGTGTTGTTGCCATGGTAACTATAAACAGAAGAAACACAAGCAGAACTAGTGCCATGTCTGACGTTGGATCAGAGGAGTTTGAGGAGGAAAACAATAAACTGGGGGTAAGAAAAAAAAACCCCAACAACTTCTGATCATTAGACACTGGGGGGAGGTCACTGAGAGTGTGTGTGTGTGTGTGTGTGTGTGTGTGTCAGGAGTATGTAGGAGACAGGAACGAAGCAGGAGAGAGACATGGACACGGCAGAGCTGTTCTTCCTAATGGAGACGTCTATGAAGGAGAGTATGAGAACGGGAAGAGGAACGGACAGGTACAGAACATGGTCCTGGTCTTAGTCCCAGTCCTGGTCTTAGTCCCAGTCCTGGTCTTAGTCCCAGTCCTGGTCCATATTAAAGGTTATTATCTCTGATGAAGTGCATGTAACATCTTCCGACCACCAGGGGACGTACCGCTTCAAGAACGGGGCCAGATATGTGGGAACCTACTTCCAGAACATGAAACATGGACAGGGAACCTTCAACTATCCAGACGGCTCCAAATATGAAGGTGGGTTTGGTACCATTGATGTTGGAACCCTGTGTTTGCTAAAAGCCAAGCTCCCGTCTCCGTCTCTGTCTCTCAGGCTGGTGGGTGGAGGACGTGAGACAGGGTCATGGCGTCTACACCTACGCCAACGGAGACAGCTACGACGGAGAGTGGCAACGGCACCTCAGGTACGTCACATGATCACAGACACTGGAACTGTTTTAGTCTGCATATGAAGACGGCCTTCAGGTTCAGACAGTTCCTAGATATGGACACAGGACCAGGAACTGTGCCGTTACAATGCAGTGGGAACAGGAAACAGAACTTAGAACATAGACCAGATGTTAAAGAGTTCCTGTGGTCTGGTCCAACCCACAGACACGGCCAGGGAGTCTACCACTACCATGACACGGGCTCCAAATACCGAGGATCCTGGGTAAACGGAAACATGGAGTTATCCGGAGAGTTCCTCCACAGGGACCACAGATTCCAGGGGAACTTCAACAACAACAGGGTCAGTTCTCCTCCAGGTCAGGTCCAGACTGGACTCCGTCCATCACTGTTGACTATCCTCTTTATTTCCAGCCCCGTGGTCCTGGAAAGTTTGTATTCCCTGATGTCAGCTGTGAGCAGCACGGTGACTGTGTCCAAACGCCGCAGGTAAGTGACCTCTGACCCCGAGGTGACCTATTATCTGGTCCGCGAGGGAATGTCAGAACACCACAGATGTTCTAATGACTGTTGTCTTTTGACAGGACGAGTCTGAGGCTGAGTGGGAAGTCAAGTGGGTTCCCAGGTGTCTCAGTGGACTGACCCTGTCCACCCCAGTCTCCGTCCACACAGGTCAACATTAACACTTTGTCCAGAACTTAATCCCAGGGTTGGTCAGTCAGAGAGTTCACAGAGAACATTAACCAGTGACCAGTGACTTACCGAGTCAATGAACAGTGACGTCATCCTTCATGTGTTCTATTCCCAGCTGTGGACAAAGAACCAGTAGCAGAAGAAGAAAAAGAAGAAGAGACATGATCAGTGTTTTCATCTGAAAATCTTTGTGTAAAATAAAAAAACAAAACTCTATCAATAAACTCTTTGTCGACAAACGGCTGGATTTTCCAGATTACAGGACTCCAAACACCAACTTTGTTCATAGACGTACAGTTGTTCCTCTCCTTTTCTTGTAGTATTCTTCAATTCCTTGTCACGTGAAAAAGACGGGGACACAGCGGTAATATTAAATCCGAACAATAGGGGGAGCCGTCAAGCTAGAAATAGAAAAAAGCAGCTCAGGTTCACTTCAGACACCTCAAAACCGGCCCTAAAACGGTCCAATAATGTAATAATAATCAGTTCTGGGACATACAACAGCAGACACTCTCAACAGCATCGTCATTGGACCCATTTGAATATTATTGCAGGTGGAGCTGATTCAAAAAGCACAGTAACAGTACCATTTTTGACCCTCTTGTTGACTAGTTTTATTTTTAGAACATACCCCACGGGCACCTTAGGTAGTCCATGGGGGCTACCAGATGCCCCCGGGCACCACGTTGGTGACACCTGACATAAACATTGACGAGCGCACTCTACTGGTGAAATCTGTCATAGTCTATTCCATGTACTGAAATGTGACACATTTTCATGTCGCAGTGGTTTAAAGTCTGAACTTTAGTTTCAGGACATATTCAAGAGTTTTTATGTCTTTTTTGTTTTGTTGTTTTTAATACAGCCATTCATTAGTTAATGTTGACGTCAATAAATATTTAATTCTTAAAACAAATTTAATTAATTGGCATATTTATATAAATGTATTTTTGCAAATGTCAGAAGTATGCAACTTTTATATATATATTTTTAACAGACATTTTTAGACATTCTGAGGACTGTTGGCACTTGTCGGTGCATAAACTTAAATTAAAGGATTAAAACACTAGATTTATCTAGCAGTAGGTTTGAAGCTTGGTTTTGGTTC